GTTCAGCTCCATGTCCTCCGGCGGGATGCTCCGACCTGCCCCGTGTCCCACAGCTCTCTCTGGGGACAGTGCTGGTGGTCCTGGTGGGACTCGGGCAGGAGCAGCTCCTGGCCCGTGCCCTGGAGCCCAGAACAGCCGGATAGGCACAGTGGGGGCACCCTCGGCCACCCAGGTCTCGAGGTGCCACTGAGCCTCTGCAGGGCTGGGAAGGGGAAAGGGGAACCGGTGCCTCTGGCCGGGCTGTTTACACCCCGAGGAAGGAGCTGGGCACCTCAGGATGCAGAAGCTGCCAGCACCCCCAGGATGGGGCTGGGCTGCTGGTGGGCAGCACCCTTGGCTCCCAGTGACACCATCCTGGCCCCTCTCAGGGCCTCACTGCTGTGATGAGGGGCTATAGTGCCATGGGCACAGGGATCCTGCCAGGACAGGGACAAGGGGACACAGCAACCCCCTTGTGTGGCCGTGCTGGGCTCTGGTGACTGCTGTGGCCCTGGGCGGTGGCACAGGCAGTGACCACAGTGCTGTGCCCTGGGCAAGCAGAGGTTGAGCTGTGGTCACCGCTGGCCCTGGGGCAGTGACCAGTGGCCCTGCCCACTGGCCCCTCGTGGCTGCAGGGCTGTGGTGGCTGTGGCTGGTCCAGGCTCTCCATGCCCGGCCTCCAGGGGCTTTCCACTCATCCCGGGGTGCAGACAGGCCCCTGCTTGCCCCGAGGCTGTGTCAGCACCGGGTGGGTGGACACGCATTGGGCCGCGCTGCTGCCTGCTCCTGGGTGCTCCGCCTTGATTCAGCAAGACTTGAGCCAGTTTAACTGCTGTGGTGTGTCTGAATGAGGCTGACATCACCCACTGGGAACCAGTTAAACCAGTGGAAGCCTCCTAGTCTGTGCAAGCCCTTACAAACTGGGCCCTACAGATCCCACTAGATGGGCATGGCCGGTGCCTCCCCTCTGGGCAGTGGGGCTGGATTGTGCCCATCCAGGGTCTCCCCATGGCTGGGATGTCTCAGGGCTCACTGCTCTGATGTGTACCAGGACCAGGAGGGGATGTGATGGGCCAGAGGTCACTGGCTGCCTCCTGTCTGTCCCTGGGTGCCTGCTGAGCACAGGAGGGGCTGCAGAAGGAAAAGCACTCCGGGATCCTGGGCTCTT